CAGGGGTACCTGATGATGACAAAACCTTGTCGAAACGTTGTACATTTGCTGTTGTATTAAAGTTTTTCTTCATTACCCATTCAAGCCGTCTCCAGCCATTATTAGTCTCAAAGTGGGTTCCTCGTCCTCGAATAACTGTCTTGTGTTCTTGTTATGGTTTTACCCAATTTGTTTAAATTGTGAGTTGTAACTGACTGAGATTTGAGTTCGATGTATTTCGTTTAGATATTACTTTGACTTGCTTGTTACCTATTTGTTGTTTTTGTAGTGATATCATGGCGTTTGACGAGTCAGCTTAGTGAAATCATTGACATATTTCAACCCATAGTTAACTTTCTAATCTGTCAGTTAAATGTTTTATTTCAATGTTAGGGTGTAGGAAAACCTGAGATACGAAAAAGGAACTGTCATAACTGTAACAACTACCAATTTTACCTTTTCACAAATATTATAAATACATGTGTTTTTTCAGGTACATTCATGCAATTTTCACCAGATGTTTCAAGGTCATGAATACGTGCTAGTATTTTTAAACAAGTAAAAGCTATATAATGTAACCTTTGTTCTCAAGCCTTAAGCCAGTATGCATGTCTTTCTACATGGACTTCTTGGAAGTTAGCTTATTCAAACCGGCAATTCAGTGTGGTACACACAATTGACTTGGAATGGTTTAGAATTTTATGAAAGTTATTAGTTGAAATGTGTGACATATACAGTTATGAGATACCTTACTAAGACTTGAGCCTGAGTATATAAATGGGGGGTTCCCATAGTTCTCTCACTTGTTTTTGTGGACTTTTTCTCACTCTCTCATATTTTGATTCTCATTCCCAGTAGCAAGACACTAACCACAAAAAATTAGAAGTCAGCCAGGAATTTATTAACAGTGCAGATATTTATGTGAATAACGATTTTGTTTATTTGCTTATTTGTTTGTTTGTTTGTTTTTAATTATGCACAAAGCTACACAAGGGCTATCTGTGCTCTGCCCACCACGGGTATTGAAACCCGGTTTCTAGCGTTGTAAGTCCGCAGACATACCGCTGTGCCACTGGGGGGCTTGCTTATTTGTATTCACATCTTCTTTCACTGCCTCACTTCATCTTAAACCTGTCTTTTTGCAGAAACCTTTGGCTTTTCTACTGAACAATACAAGTGAGCCCATATTTTAATGTAGCTAAATGCAACTTCATTAATCAAATTGCCACATTAAGTTCTAGTGCTATAATATAAAAAAAAATGTCAACAAAGTTGAATAAAACCTGATTATGTTCTTCAGTACACTGCAGAAGATAGATTACATTGGTGTCATATTACAATAAAATAATATATATTATAGTTATTAGTAGCTTATCAAGTAAATAATTTATCATTACCCTTAAACGTGTTCTGTAACAAATGTGAATTTAATACACATATTGTACATGTACTACGTTGAATTTTCAGAGAAATTTTCTAGTTCTTCTCCAGTTTAGAATAATATTAAAATACACAATAGTAATACACCAATTGGTATGGTCTACAACAAAAAGTGTATGGCACTATTATCAAATTTGAATACCTAAATAATGCACTTTAACTGCAGTAAATCATATCACAGAAAAATTCATAAAATGGCAACCAGCAGTTTGATAACAATAGTTTATTTGACAATGAAATTTTTAAGTTGTAAACATAAACAGCAGTTGACTTCAAGCAAATTTAGCATACATATAACAATTCCTTTCTAGTCTGTTAAATTAAAATATCAGTTTTGCAACATCAATAATTTCAATACTCGCTTATGAAATAGTGTTTGACACAGAACACAAACTATCATTAAAATTTTCAGCAGCATACTACAATACAGACTAAATAGCAATACATGGGCACATAAAAAGTACTACATGTGATATGGCTTCAGTGTGCCTTGTTTATAGGTATGTTAAATCAGTTGTGCATAACATAGATAATAACATATACAAATGTAAAAAGTAATCCAAAGACAGAAATCAACACAAAATTAAACAATATTTATATATGAAAACAGGATACTAGTTACTTTCTACTAAGAATGAACATACTTTGAAGTACATTTCTTGTAATGTCAACCAAAATATGGACTCTCTTTACAATACATTCCAAATGTGTATTGTTATGAACCAAAAAACAACTTAAATAATTCATATATGCTTGGGAACTAAACCAGACAAATCTAGAGTTATGACTTTGCAAATGTTCTACTCTATTACACACTAAATCATTAACAAAGCACAAAATCTAAGTATTTTACAATAAAAACTGTCTGGGAAGGGGGGGGAATGTATATCAGTACATGTTTCTTGATTATTCTTTTCACAAAGTTACTCAGTCCATAATTTCATTGTACTCTCTTAGAGCAAAACCTTAGAATTCATTCATCTCCATCCTGAAATCAGGTAGTCATTTAAGAAACTGCTGAAAGTGAGCTCTAATTTCAATACTAGTCCCCTCAAAAAATGCAAGGAGGATTTTATGGAAAGTATTGAAGAAGTAGGACAACATACTACAGCTTCATTTTACTTGACTAATAGCTTGTTTGTGAATCACTGATGATATAATTTTAAATTTTGGTAGTTACAATTCTTTGTGGTATAATAACCTTGTGTGTAAATTGCAATGAGCATGTAATAATTCTCTCAGTTTTCCTGACTGGAAAGAATTAGTCCAATAATATTACCTCATTACATGTCTTCACTGTTTTCTATTTCTTTAGACTAACATCACAAATCACAGTATATCAACAATCTTTTGTCACTTTGTAACTTACAAAGATCATAGAGATCAACATACTACACTGACAGGCTGTAAAGAGGCTTAGACATACATGGTAATATCCTTTTCTGAAAAAAAGACAAAAAAAGGGATAACAGAATAAACTTTAAAATATTATTGAGCAACAAAAGTACAAAAAGTAGGGTTATTTGAAGGCCAGCTCTTACAGGTGTTAATTTAAAATAAAACACTGGTAGTAGATCTTTGAATTAATGTACAAAAAAGCATTAATTAACAGAAATAATATGCATTTAGACCGAGTAATAAAATCACTTGGCAATTAATTTTAGCCACCATCATCTTGTATAATGTGCTTCCAACAATTTGTCACTATCTACACATATACTTTCAACACTATTACAAAAAACTCTCAAACAATTCCACTTACTATAATTCAATCAATAATATCACTGTTCCAAGGGCACCCAACAATTTATCACAAAAAATAATCAATTGTAATTTTTGGTTACTAGTAATAATTAACTACGTTTTCATACACACATTTTATACATGTATGTGTGTGTGTGTCTATACATATATATGTATAGTGGGAGAGAGAGAGAAAATGGAAGTGTTTAGATGTTTTTTCCAGTGGCCATAAATTAGTAGACAGTGGTGATAAAGGAAAAAGAGCAAGTCTACTAGATATCCAAAAAATGTTGGATAAATTCCATTCACTCCAGTCTCAATACCAAAGACAGATGAAATTAGCAAACTAACATTCTATAATTAATTTCTATTTATATACACACACACACACACACTGCTTGTATGTGTATATGTGTAGTGATTAAAAGTCATCAACCAGTAATCACATTAAATTTTAATCACAAAATCTTTTAGTATAATTCTTAGAGTATTTATTCTAAAGTGTTCCAGAAAAGTTTTCCATCACATATCTACAGGATCAGTCATCTGCAATTTTCTCATTCATCAATCATCTAGCACATGCATAAAACACTTTGAAACACCTTATTTAGGTTTTAAACAAGTACAAAACTTTCACTAAAGCATTTATATTTTCCTCAAATAATAATTAATTGTAATTAAAAAAATATATTAGTTTTTTCATATCTCTCAGCCTTCTTTCAGCTGCAATCTCTGCACATTTTCATTTCAAAAGAACTGCATCACAGAAATCCCTTTGAATAGGCACATTTGACAACCATGGTCATTATGTGGATTAATTCATTTTCATCCACATCTTGAGGATGCATTGTATAAATTAAGGAAAAAAAAAGAAGGCAGTATAACAAGGTATGATACACTACACCATGTGCCAATTCTCAGCATGATTCAGCTCCTGCTGGCTTTCCTGATCAGTTTGTTTGAGCATTACATCGAGAAACAGCCTATTTACATACTTCTTTTCAATTATGCAATATCCACATGTTTTTACTTAGCCTTAAGAAATAAAAGTATCTCATAGATGTAAAAACTATTCCACATCATTCAAATATTGTGGAAATTCTAAATACTACTTATAAGATGTGGAGTGTAGTTTAGGATTTAGAAATAGTTTAACCAACAAAGATTACCGATTAATGAGAAAACAGTTTTGCAGAACAACTAATAATTCATACCATTGTAATGATTAAAAAAAGTTCTGTTCTGGTGTTCATTTAAATGTTAAATAGGTTTTTACTGTTGAATAAACACAAATTTAAAGAAAATTGAAATGGTTATAGAATATTAAATGTAATTCTGGTGGATTACATATTTAGATCTGGTCAACTCACTGTTGTAAGATAGTTGAACATGTTTATAAAACTAAGTATACTTCTGTCCTTCTCTCTGTTGGTGAACCCAGAAAAAATAGTGAAATGGTTATGGAATATTAAATGTAATTCTGGTGGATTACATATGGTAAACCCACTGTTGTAAAATAGTTGAACATGTTTATAAAACTAAGTATACTTCTGTCCTTCTCTCTGTTGGTGAACCCAGAAAAAATAGTGAAAATGGTTATGGAACAAGTTTATAAAACTAAGTATACTTCTGTCCTTCTCTTTGTTGGTGAACCCAGAAAGAATAGTGAATGATTTGTTTACATTAGATTGAGTGCTAAAATTCTGTACATTTAACTGTTTGTGAGCCCAATGCTGTAAAAAACAACAACAAAAACTGGAAGAAAAATGGGTGATTTTCTGAACTGAGTTGGGTTCTAATGGATTGTACATTTAGTAATTTGGTAAGCCTACTGTTGTAAGAAGTCTTTGTGTGGAAGAAATGTTTTTTTTGAGAGAATGGAGTTCTTTTGTGCTGTATGTTTTGTTATCAATGTATCCACAGATATAAAAAAATTAGGTCTGGAAAGGGCAGATGTTCCTCTTTAACTAAATTAAGTTGTAACGTGCTGCACATTTAACTGTTGGTAAGTCCATTCATGTGTAAAATGAACTGGATGCAGTTATAATGATGTTTTCTAGGTTTGCAGGCCTCCCAGACCATTTATAACATAAAATATCTAAAAAAAATAGGCTGCAACATAAAAATATAGGTTCTTATACACACACTGACAAAGAAAAATTGTATAGGCTTTCTGCCTAATTCCATTGGCAAAAAACAAATTTTCCAACCTGAATAACTCATAAAATCACAATATTGAGACCAAAATAGGTCTCTTGTGTTTTTCCAAAGAATACTTATAAATTAATACTTATAAAAAATACAGGTTTCTATAGGTTGTACAGGTCATTTTCACATAAAAAAAAAGACCACTTTCAAAATATAGGCTTTAATAAATTTTATAGGTTCATTGGGAGGCCTGGGTTTAACAACTCCACTGCAGTTAAAGTCTTTGTAAGGAAAGGGAAATAGAACAAAGTAATATTCCTACAAAAGAGAAAAAAACATATCAAGATTTACCAATAAACAGCATATACATCTTTTTAAAATGGAATGTTTTTTCCAACGTGTAACAATAGGAACATAAATTTAAAATAGCAAGTACTTTCAAAAATTCTTCTAAGTATTATGAAAAAGAAATAGTACAACATTTCAGATCAAAACTTATCTAAACCAAACCTTTAGTAATTAATCTGACAATATGAAGTATGAACCAAGTTGTACTTTTCAGAATATCTCTTGTTCTATTCTGCTTAAAGTGGAATTCAAATAATAGTACCATAACAAACACACTCAACATATCACAACAACCCATAGGACACCTATCATGATAATATGGTTACAACCTAACCTACATGTATCTCATGTAAAGGAACCACTGGTTTGCCAATAAACATATGAGTAGTAAACAAGATTTCTACAAAATTTTATTTAGACAATACTTTCAAGACTGTTATTTCTTTAGTACTCAAAATCTTATTAGGACAAAGTCAAAAGAGTTTTCAAAAAAGTCATCAAAAGCTGAACACTTAGCTTTCAAATACATATCTAACCATAAAATTTATACACAATCATGATATATCAATCAATTCAATTAATAGATTTAACTTTTTTTTTATCAAACTTTCAACATCTACAAAGTTTTAATTATCATATATTTACCATCTTTTATAGCTAAATAATCAACTCCTACATTACTAAAGATCTTTAGGGTGAGCTGTCAGTACGAAGCCTTTTACGAGACACATTTTCATCCACAGTTGCATTTGCAATATGACCAGAGTCTCGTTTTTTTGAAGAATTCTATAGAATAAAAAACATTATATGCATTAATGAATCTATTGAAATCAAACTAAGTTTACAGTAGAACAAAATTTCAAAACTATTAAGTCATACCTCAGGGCTGCGGAAATGTCATGCACATGTGCAAAATGTGTTACAAAAATAGTTAATAGATGACAATTTCTCTCAAATGTGAAACATTATCATGACAGAAAAAAAATCTGAATTTGAGTAAATGGCAGACCTTATCAAACAGTGTTAACTACTAGAAATAGAAGTGATCATTTTCAAGTTTCCACAAAACATCATTGTGAACATCCTTGGTGAAAAGAACAATTAAGCTTTATCTTGCAATACCTCATTTTCTTTTCAAACTAGGTACATTTTACACCTTTAACATTTATAATTCAATCATCATATTTGTTGGTACTAGTGGTGTTCTCTAAAACAGAAATTGTTTCAAGTATGATGAACCCAACTTACAAAGCTCCAGCATGCATACATGCTGTGGTAATCCAAAGATTTATATAAGAGTCATTGTTTTATTTATTAATATGAGTGTATATTATTTCAAAACATATGAAGCAAGGTGTACCTCTCCCACCCCAGAAAATATCAGCAAGTAAAATGTCCAAAGACTAAAAAAGTCTGGGTCCTGAATATTTTGGTGATTCTACAGACCTGCACACACACACACACACACACACACACACACACATACATACATACTATTATATAACAATAGTCTTGTTTATTTTACAAGCATTGTTTATTTACTTACTGTAAATCATTGCACACCACAGATACCCCCAGACCTTCAAATTTCTAGAATATTTATAATCACCACATTTAAAGTGTAATTTGAGATATTTTAAGTGACTCAATAGTCAATATATGAAAAACATGATGTGTGTAGAATAGCCATGATATTTTATGAACTTAAGAATTAAACAGTTGAGCTGCCTCCATTTTTAAGATATTACCAAAATTTGATTGACTAAGTATTCTTTTATGATTATTTACTTATTAGTGATAAAAATTTTTTGTTTGTTTCATTGATTATCCTTTTCTTCATTTGAGATTTTTTGTATTTAATTTGTATTCTTCTGCAGTATTTTGAGTTTTTTCGCTGACATCAGAAACTGCTGCTGTTTGGTCAGTGTTATGCAAACTTTTAGAATTTTATTTTCCTTCAATAGAGTGATAAAGTTATATTACCAAAAATTAACATTTTCCTACTCTGAAAATGTGTTTCTGATAGATACCTCCACACACAGAAATGCTATTTCTCTCACACATCTGCCTATGAGATTTGTATGCTACAAGCCTTTAGCTAACTCCCACCTAAATGCATGTGTTTAATGTGAACTTTACTGGTGCACGATGATGTCATAATACCACAATAGCCCTCAATCAATAGAAGGGTGAACAACCTTTCTCTATGCATTCTCAGACAATGCATGAAAAAATGTGCACCAGAGGAGGTCAGGTGGGGAATGCGTGTGTGGAGAAGAGTATCTATCAGAAATACATTTTCAGATTAGGTTAAATGTTAATTTCCAAGACAATAACTTACTCCTTTACACAGAGATGCTAGAATTCCATGTTGAAGTGATGGAGGAGGCCTAGATAATCTCCCTTCAAAAAATGCCCAATTGGAAGCCCATGGAGTGAGACTTCCAATAGCAGGGGTTTCATATGATCAAACCAGTGAGTGACTACATCTTGTTTCAACCAGGGTATACTCTTTGTTCAAGATGAAAGGGAAGAATCAGCAGAGAAGTCTGAAATGTCATGGAAATGGGTGGAAAATGACCATGACCAACTAAGCATCAACACATAGGTAGTAGGCAAGCCAATATGTGTAATGTGATTAGGGCACAATATATGCTCACCTCAACTCTACTGGGCTGACTTTGGCTGCAGGGAGAGGGCACAGTAGCTGTATGAAGAATGGCCCATACCACACTGACAGTGTCACCATTGCACTAATTCTCATCATATTGTGCTAAGCCCAACTAGTGAGGAATCTCAATGGTTCAACACCCAGCAGTTAGGCACTGATAAATGTCATGGGTCTTACCTGCTCCATTTGAAGAAAATAGGGGGGGATTCACATTGAGGAGACCTGGAGACCCCAGATCCCTATCAGACCACCAGCAAAAAAGGTCTTTAACTGGAGACAGTGCAATGGGTGACTACAAAACCTTATTTTTAAAAGCCAGCAAGCACAGGACAAAAAAGTGAGCAGACACTTCCCTGATGCTGGCTTTTTCCATGATAGTTCATGAAATTGGTACGATCTAGATTGGATAACTGGTTAAATTTGAATACCACAAAGATATCTCAAATAGTCTTGTGGAACACCTGATCTCGCAGTGAGCAATAGTAGTGCTAGTATTTGGGCTGAACATTTTCCATTATCCTGGCTTGATGTAGATTTTGGAAAATAAGAATATTCTAGGAGACACTACCAACCACCTGATGGAATCCTGTTCAACAGAAATAGAGAGATTAAAAGGGAAACATACTATCCATTTCAAAGATGGTGAACTGAATGAAGTATGGCAACCACTTGAAATCTGCGGGAGACAAACAGTCAACTGGTGAAGATAATGAGGAACACAAATGTGGGAAATCATCCACATGGGAAGCAAGAAACATTCATGAATCAGATGTGAATAAACGAAGAAATAGCCTGTAATATCTACACCCTGGAAAGAATATACCAACTAGAGGAATTGACAGACCCATCCAGTTAAAGGTAGAAGGGGAGAGGTCCCTGGAAGAAGAGGGGTCCCAGGGTAGAAACTGATGATGGTGAGGACCCTGAAAGAAGTTCATGAGAAAGAACAATGAACAACCTGAACAGGGCACAGGAACCAATTCAGGTCTGAATGATCATAGAGGTGAGAGATAGAAGGAAGGGAAATAGGAAAGTACAGTTACCCTCCCAAGTGGCAGAAGTCTGAGGGTGGAAAGACAGATCCAAGAAGAGGAGTATGGAAGGGCAGTGGAAGAAAGTGCAAGAAGCATCGATAGCACAGATATTCAAATCACGGTGACAACAAGCGAGGTGGAGAAGGATATAAGACTTGAGAAAAGGTGGTACAAAGAGCAAGAAGCCAATAGCTCAATTGGGGCATGTGTAACAACATGCAAAACCACATTAACCCTATGATGATGACATGTACGTAACTCTTGGGAAAGTTCTTTACAAAAATGAAACTAGAGGATGAAATTGCTTTAAATTTGACATGAACAGTCCTAAAAGTATGTAGTTTCAGAAAAATAAGATATTTAATTTTGATTTTTTCTACTATTTATACTAATAAATAAAGTTAACATTTTTCTAAACTGAAAATGTATTTCCAATAGATACTTAACTCCCCTCACAAAATAGCTTTTCTTGACTAGTACTGCCCTCTATCGGCAAAAATATTCAATGCTTGCCACTAGAATTCCACCTCCCAATTCTGCATATCCACATGTAAATGATTGTGCAGCAGCTCTCCACAAATAGGAGTGTAACACAATCCTATTAACAATCATCCTCTCCACAATGTAACTCGTTAATCACTTCAAGATTGGTTACGAGACCTACACCACATATCACCAAAAGTTCGGAGGTTGGGTGGGAAATGTGAGCAAAGGTAAGTATTTATTGGAAATACATTTTCAGTTTAGGAAAATGTTAACTTACTATCCAATATCTTATCTCCTCTCACAAAATAAATAGAATCCCACATTTAACTGGTGGAGGATCAGTGAAAAAATTATCCCTGTTCAGGAAATGTCCAAAAAGAGTCCATGAGGTGTGAAACCAAAAAAGAAAATATCATACCTCATTTAATATCCTTTCCTGTCATTTAGCACTGTTATTTATTGCAACACACATCAATGAGCTTCCCCAGCCAATGTTACCATATAGTGGGCAGAGAAACTTCAGCCCTCGACATAACATAGTGGCATTTGCATATGACACTATCTCTTGTGAACAAAGCAGGTGTTGGCTTAGATAAAAAAAAAAATTAAACCTTTCAAATATGCATCTTAAAACATAATTAAGTAAAATATTAAACTAAAACCTAAATAGAATGCAACCGTCTATCTAAGTAACATATTTCTCAGTGAGAAATAATGTTGAAGCAGCAGTGACAAACCAGCTACAATGCTAAGAGTGGTTTCTCTAGTTCTCTATATCATTATTTGTGCCAATTTTAAAAGAGAACGTACTTCAAAAAGTCCCCTTTCCATTGGTTTGAACCATCTAGCTCAACTAAATAAAATTGGCTGATAAATTACAACTCAATGGTAGAAACTGGGCACAGCATCAATCATGAAGTCAAAGAAATTTATTTCTCCTTTCTCTGAACATGCTCTGTGGAATTTGAAAGAAGAATGCGTAAACAGAGCAATTAACCTCGATACTTTCTATATAGGGAAAGGTTAGTGTGAGTCAAGAACTGTTTAAACTACAAAGACACAAATTTAACATTTTGTGAACTTATGGATCACAAGAGAATAAAACAAAATTTTAAGAATTTTTCTTTAAGGTTTCTTTTGAAATAAAGAATTTAAAACTTGGATAATATAAAACTTTGAACTGTAATGTAAAGTTTGAAGTTGATTTCATTGACAAACGTTGATCATAGAATAGCTTAATTAAACTTTAAATGTAACTAAGTAAAATCTTATGACATTCACAGAAAAGGGTCACTGTAAGAAAGGAGTTAAAATAGATTTATAGTAAAATGATTTAACCCTTCCATTATGGGCTGGGTGAAATCCACCCAGCTACTAACCACAAAAGTATCCATGGGAGTAATTATACTACGATTCTTCATAATGTATGCACATCTTTACAAAATTTTACGGGTTATTGGTGAACATTACAAGGTTTTATCACACAAAATGTCAGGTTATTAAATTAAGTATTAAGATTTTTTAATTAAAGATTTTCTTGTAAGCCTTTTTCTTTCAGAATGTTGACTATCCAACATGCAAAGCAATTTTGATTTTAAGATTAAAAATACTTTAATGCATTAAAACATTTTCAAATTTCACAAGCGAAATCTTTATAATCTCCAGATGATTATCAAATTTTTTGTGTAAAAAACTATATTATTAATTATTATAACTAGTGTATTTCTGTATGGGTTGGTTTAATATGACTGACTTCGTAATCTCAATAAAAAATTAGGATAAAAATATAAATTATGCTTTTTTTGTTCTAGAATGAATAGAAATTATAACACGAAAACACAAATTTTTAGTCTAAATAGCTTACATCTAATAACATTATACATTTCTAATTTTTATCATATTGACCTTCCAGCCATGGCTGGATAACAATACATAAATTACAGTAATGTGGCACACGTGCACTCGTGTTGCCATATTCAATATATATAATTGACCTTTAGTCTTTACAAAGTGACCTGTCTTAGCTGTGTTTTAGCGGACTGTATTTTGTAAAATACAGTCACATTTCAACTATTATACATTATATATGTATATACATTTCTATTTACAAATAAGCTCTTAAACTTATTTGTATTAAAACATAGAACAGTAAATAAAGTAAAGCAAACAATTATCTCTTCTAGTTACAACCTTTGTACCCGTTTGCCACTTGTCGTAGGTTGCTAAGTCTTATGAAATTTCTCATGTGGAGGATGTAAAAAGAAATGTTTTTTAGATTTTATATATATACACATTTTAATTAACCAAAAAATCATAAATTACTATATTGATACCGCAAAATTCCACTATAACATATCAAGCATAGTAACTAAGCCGTATTTTAGTCTAAAAAAATATGAAATTTCGAGCTCACTAAACACCTCATCATTTGAAATTTGTGTAAAAAGAATGAAATTAGCACAATAACATGTCACAATGGCTGAGAAAACTACTAGGGGGACATTCTGACCTTCTGAGTGGTTGTTCATGTCATATATAGAAGCAAGTGTATATAAGGGACAATTTCCAAAAATGGAAAGAGGTGGGCAGGAAGGCCACTGTGTTTGATTCAGTACAGGAGCAATATCTTAGCAAATTAAAAAGATAAAATGTTCTTATTTTATATTCCACCTTGTCAATATTGGTAGTTTGAGTTCCTAATTCGTACAAAACTGTATATTTTATATTTTGACATCAAAAACATCTAATATGAACCAGTGCTGCATTCAACATACCGCATAACACACAAAAATTGACGTTTGGCTGTGTTTTTTAATATTTAATTTTAAATTAAGAAATTAACTAACATATAATACTGAAATTTGAATTATAATCTACAATTTTATACCAAACTTATTGACATAGATTCATAAAATAGTAGTTCAATAAAATTCTGAATGCATGTCAACAAATGTGATGACATGGCCTTTCACATATGATCCATCGAGATAGGGTTAATTAAATTTAGAATGTAACTCAGTAAAACGTACAGAAGAGGGTTTAAAAATGGTGTCATTTTTATAGGGTTAAGGACCTAGTCAGGCACGGGAGTCAAGTGAGAAGGTAGATGAAGAAGGAAGGAGCAGAATAGAATGGAGAGAGTAATGGTGGTAGAAGGCAAAATATAGGGGATGACAACACATGATAACCAGCAATGATGGACAAGACAAACCATGGTTGATCATCATAGGAAAATAAGGCAGAAAAAATGGTTCACAGTAGGATGGCTGGGAGGAAAGAAGTGGTGGATGAACAAATGACAAGACCTGCCATCTTCATTAACCCCATGGCACCCGATGCCATTTTTAAATTTCTTTCTGTGTATGGTACCATTACATTCAAACTTTAATTAAACCATTTTACTATAAATAAAAGTCAATGAAATTAACATTATAATGTATGTATAATTTGAATCTTTATGTTATCTACATTTTAATTCCTTTGTTTCAAAGGACACATTTAAGAAAATACTTAAGCTGGAGTTTTCATGTCACGTGATCCACAAGCTATGAAAAATGTCAACTTTAACAGCAGTTCACTTTTAGCCAATACTCTGGCAATGTACATGAGTATCTAGATGCTAATGTACATGTGTTTGAACTATTGACACATGATGTACAAAGTCTGCAGCTGCATTCTCTGGGAAACAGGTATAAATTTCCAACCTGTACATGTAGTTAACTGATACAAGTGTATATAGTCCTTAAAAAGACCTCAGTTTACACTATACTCCACCAAAAGTTAATTTGAAATTGGCACACAGTTTTTCTTACAGTGTACATGAAACTGCCATTAGTATTGTTGTCTGCTTGATCGACTATAGCACTTATGGTGGTTTCTTACCTAAATATGTTACAGTTAGAGACAGTTAAATTGCATTTAGGTCTTAATTTAATATATTATTTAATTATGTATTATGTGTGTTTTAAAAATCATATTTAAACAGTTTAATGATCTTTTACAAGTTTAACTTGTTGCATAGATTGTGAAAGGTTATAAACAAGATGGCATGTATAAGCACCATCTTGTTTGGGCAACAAGTCTCTGCAGGGAGTCTGTCAAACTAACAACATAAAGCTCCATGGGCATCAGTTGATGTATTGGCATAAATAATAAAAGACAATAAACTATAAGTGAAATGATAAAGAAGTGAATTTACATGTATCAAAAAATAAGACTATTCTGGTGGATTTCTATGAAGAGTTGAAATGTATGTACATATTTTCATTTGTTAATTTTAAACATTTCATTACACTGTAAGTCTATGATAATAGACAGCCCCAGGCCATGAAGATGGTAAGCAAAGGTCTTTAAGATGCAAATTAATACAATATATGTCAGTGCTTTGTCAAAAGGAAGAATTGGAGGATACAAGTCTTATGGACAGAATGTAAAAAAACGTCTGGAGGATGATGCAATAGGAATATGTAGGAAGGTGTCAGACACATCGACCATAATGAACTGCAGACTAGGTGAAAAAAGCCCATAGACAGGGTTGGAAGGAGGAGAAAAAAAAATGGGAAGAAGAGCAAATAAAAGTAGGGAGAGAGACCATAAAAAAACATTATCAGCAGAAACTGAGACCAGTGGCTGGCAAAGTGGAAGAGATGGGTACTCACAGGGCCAGATATGACAAAATAGCCACTGACAAGAAGAGTGATGAACAAAACATTGGGTAGTGGGAGGATGAGGAAAATGGGAAGGCCTGGAACCTGTAATGTGAAGGATAGGGGTAGACAGATCCAAATGAAGAACAGAAGTCAATAGGTACAGTCAAGAAAGAAGAAAAACCTGGGGAAATAACAGGGACTGAAATCATACTTCAGTCTAGGTCCTTAGTGATAAAGGAACACCACCAAAGAATTCCAAGCAAAGAAAGAGAGCCCAACAAAGGGGAGAAGATGTACAGTAAAGAACAATGCAACTAGACCCAACAAGTTCCAACAGCAGGGAAACAGGGTAAAGAGGAACAGAAGAGAAGAAGTTAAAGAAGCTAAGCTAGTAAAGAGAAGGAAATGAACCTCTTCAGAAAACCCCTCAAAAGCACAATGAATTGTGTCAGAGAAAAGACTGAGCGAAGAGAGGTAATATTGGAGGATGGTGAGAAAAAACGAAGATGCATAAATGGTGAAACAGAGAATGAACTAGAAGGCAATAGGCCCAACCCCCAAGCAGATCAAGTAGATATCTAGTACAAGGAATCAAGAAAGGAAAGGATGTCTGTAAGTCAAGACAAGAGAGTCATGAATGTGAAGGGGACGAGTCATTTGGGTGTGAATGAGGAGCTGTTAGAAAGGAAGCAGTATAAGCCCTTAAGAACAAGCAAAGGAGGAAAAATAAAGCAATCCCAGGAATTGAGTTCGTTGAGAAAAGAATAGGCAATATTAAAGGGCACAGGCACAACATAAGGAAAAGGAACATACTTGAGAATGATATCCAGGAAGATATTGGAAGGTTAAGGTCATTCTTTGAATGGTAAGACACTACCCAAAGCAAATCAGATTAAATATATATAGTCTAATACACCATTCATATGAAGAAAAAGGACACAAGCTGAAGGGATGGAAGTATAAGGCCAAGTAAGTGTGAGGTAATCTACAATACGCTGAACAAAGGCTGCTGTGTTTCCAACAGTTAATGAGCCTTCAGAAGCCATAGTGTAAATAAGGTCTGTGTGTTTAACATCATCACTCACAAAGGACTAAGTAGAAGTCACTGCACTTGAGAATTCACGACAAATATTAAAACTTTTGAAACAAAAGCCAAAGAAAACAAAAATCAAAGTTACATTAACAAACTGAAATCTCACCAAATTGAACTCTGACAAGAAATTTGAACATGTCTGTATAATGCAAGTCCAAGAAAAAGAATGAAATTATAGTGAGGGCAAGTGAATAAGGGAGTTACTGTGCATGGAGGTTTTTCCACCCTCCTACTGGTTGAGGTTTATTGTTGCATGATGACATCATTATGCGCCAGTGCAGTTCACATTAAACACATGAATTTAGGTGGGAATTAGCTCAAGGCTAATGGCATGCTAATCTCATAGGCAGATGTGCGAGAAAAACAGATTTTAGTGTGAGGTGAGTTATTGTCTTGGAAATTAGATTATTTGTGCTTACCTTCTTATCCCATTGTTGATGTAAATATCGTAGAAGAATGTTCGTCTTCTCTGTTATTATTACTGTAACACAAATAAACTTTATCTTAAATGCAAATGTACTTATGATTTGCAATATAAACCCACAAATTTATGTCCATTAAGAATTACATAAAGGCAAAAGGTTTGGCTTCCACTGTTCAAAGAAATTAATATATATAAACCAAACCAAAAAACATAACATCAGCAGAAAATGTTTTCTTTATTGAAACAAACAAGAAGCTGTACTATATGCTTGCCTGGTTACATGGTATACATGTAAATGTATCTACTTTTGATGTGCTTTCAAATAGCGAAATGCTGGTACCAGCTAATTAAAAAAAAGCTCTGTTTTACTCTACTTAAATATATATGATCACATTCAATCAAAACTATCTATTCTAATCCTACAATAAAGTACAAAATATTTTTTAAATTTACATAAAGCTTAAAACACATTGCAGTTAGTAGTAGTGTAGTATAGATAGATATGTGTGAGTGTACACTCTCAACTATCACTTTATCCATTTTGTCAGTGAAAATACCCAAGTTCATACAAAATAAGAGAGAGTTGGTACAATAATATTTGGAAATTGAAGAATCATGTAAAACATATACTAATTTGTTGTTTTTTTTTCCAAGAAACAGCTCAGACTTCAGTTGTTAACTTGAAATTAAGGAACAGTCCAGAGCTTTTCCTAAAGTTTTTTCAACTGCATAATTGTATTTTAACTTCATCATTATTGAATACATGATGCCTTATTGCACCTCATGTACACAGGCCTAGTAACAAATGAAGAATAGTTTAGTAAAAACATTTATTTATTAATTCTGGAATGAAATTTTATAATCTTAAGTATGTTTTTTTTAATATTTATCCACTTGAGCTTATTTATATATGTGAATTTTCAACTGTTCAAATATGTTTACAGGTGCACAATTTGTAATCACCTGCAAACTAGGAAACCCCCTGGAACAGTCATGATTCAAGAGGGGCAAGGTATGACAAATAACATGCACAACTAAACCAGAAATAAATTGAAGTTTTTTTAGATGCTGAAATTCTAGATTACCTGCTTACCAATCTGCTAATGTTAGCATTAGAGATGGGTCAACTGGTTCCTTATTGTCTTTAAATTATATGTATGTGTATGTATGACATCAACCAAAATACCACTGTAATTCCATTTTTAAGGCATGTATGCTAAGATATTTTTAAGCATATGAATTGATGAAAAAACCTTTAAATATCTTTAAAAAGGAAAAACGTTTAATAAAGTACTCTTATATGGTATTTAAAATAGCATTTAATTTGGCTTTTATATAAAGTCTCACCTTCAGACATAGACTCAACTGCATAAAAGTTAAGAAAAACTCTCACCTTTATGAACTATACTACAGAGGTCTAAACTTAAAAAACTATGCTACTGTTTTTGTCTTCAGTAAATATTTAGAAGCACAGCTATGCTCAATTCAATAATTTTTATTTTGTTTAATGAATGCCACACAAGAAAAAAAAGGGTGTAAAAACTTAAGTATCTCAATGAAGTCATGACTGCTTAATTCAATGCACTTTATATAAATACTGTTTTATATAATGCAAGGTAAATACAGGCAGATCTACTTGTTATCCTACAGACATCAAAGTAAATAAATTACTATAGCTTCAAACACAAGAAAAAAAAAATTACTTTGCTCTGCTGGATGATCCTTTGTTGGTAAATACACAGCTGGTCTCTTTACCTGTTAACAATATCAGAAACTATAAAGTATACTATAAACAGAAACTCACAATTTCAGGTATATATAAAAATCTCATACTGTCTGATCACAAAGAATACTTTAAGACCTTGCAACACTATATAAAATCAAGATATATTCTACCTTTTAATCATCTACAAATTAATAAGTTGAGTTTCTAACACTGGAATAAATTAAGAAAAAGGAATGTTCATGTTGGCTCATCAAGTGCCTCAGACTGTTAACAAACAACAAATTATTAGTAAACATTCATATTAAAATTTAGTCTCAATTTTCAAATGCTTACACATACACTGAATGAGTAAACAAAAATTTAATATAAGATGCTGTGTTTGAAATTTTCTCAGATATTGTCAGACCATAAATAAAACAGCAATTTAACAAGTATTAGGAAAATAATTTATTGCTAAATAAAAAATCTATTTAGGGATGGCTATTGAACTTGAAAAAAGAAACCAAACAAAATAGGGATGGAAGTGTAGATATCACTTGATCTGGCTAATGACCCCTTAGCACAGTAAGCCATCTTGACTTTATATGAAAAATAAAATCCTTAAATTACTGGCTTCCCACTTTGTCTATCGAAAGCTTGGTGTTTGAATACAATCTCAGTTTTCATCATTATACTTTTCCTTTAGTTAACCTTATAATACTACTTTTATGACTATTTGACAATTGGAAATCCTGGTTTTACCAGCAAGGAAGCCAGTAATGTGGGGGTTTTATTCACCATGTAAAGTCAAGACTGCTTAATCTATGTGATCATTAGTCGGATCAAGTGATATGTCCACTTCCATCTCTATCTTGTTTGGTTTCTTTTTTTCAAATTCAGTAGCCTGCCCTACATAATTTTGTATTTAGCAATAATTTTTTTTTCCAACTACTTGTTTTACTTTTTCTATAACATGGTATATGTGGGTTACTAGGTTATACAGTGTATTCTAAAGCTTTATAAGTTTTGCATAGAATAATAATAAAATAGGTAGTCAAAACTCATGAAGACTGTTTTTGCTCTATCAAATGATGATAAAATTAGAGTTACTGCTAGAACTAGGTAGGTGCTAGGCCTGTTGAAGAAAGATGATGCTGAATAAAAATAAGAAATCTCAGTTTTGGCTATTCATCTGTTTTCAACTTTGGGATGCTCCGGGTAGCTGAAAAGTTGCATATACAATAGAGATAAGACAACTATGCCTAGTAGCTCTTCATATCAAGCTTCTGATGACCTGTATGTATATAGATTTTTTTTCTTTTTTACTCCTTCACTTCATACATAATGTAGGGGTTGGCTCTCTAAAGACACTGATTGTAGAGTGTGCAAAGCATTGAGTATTCTACATGTTGCAGCCACGTAATGTTCATCTATTATTGTCTGGTAATTCCTGTTTCACCCTGTACTTAAGCTTTTTAAAGGAACACCAGATTTCTGTAAGAAAGCTAACTTCAAGTGGTAATAACATCATTTATACTAGAACTACGATTTTTTTCTGATTTTGTATAGAATGATAATAAAACAGGTAGTCAAAGGTAGTCATTAAAAACTCTATCAAATGATGATCAAATTATAGTTACTGCTAGAAGTAGGTAGGCACTAGGCATGTTGAAGAAAGATGATGATGGATGAAAATAAGAAATCTCAGTTTTGTCTAATTGCAGGTTTTTTACTTTAGGAAGCTGTGGATAGCTGAGAATCAGCATATACACTGGAAATAGAGCAACTATGCCAGATAGCTCTTCATATCTAACTTCTGATAACCTGAAGAGAAGAAAGTCCAGATGACTTTTGTATTGTTTTAATACAGGTGTCCGTACCATCCCTACATAGAGAGTGCTAGCGCACTCACTAATAAGAAGGAAAAAAGCACAAATAAACTTTTTTGTAAAGATAAAAAAAAAACTCTTGTTTACAGTTCCAAGCTCATTAAGTATATGTATACACCTTACTAAATAAACTGTAACAATTCAAAAATTTTTTCTTTACACACTAGAAACGTTTAACACTGGTCAAAGCAGAAATTGCGGAATCCCATTGCCACACATCATTGCACAGTCCAGGTAATGTGCAGACATTCCTAATTCCAAACCATCACCCCTGGGAGGCAACCAGTCAGCAGAACTGCTTTTACTTTATCATTATCTTTTATATATATATATATATATATATATATATATTATTTTTTTTTGTAACACTAGATACCCAATATATAAATAATATTATTTTAATACTATTATTTCTACTATTACACTACTAG